GACGTCGTAGCAAGCACCGGCGTCGATCCTCTTCTTCCTATTCCGCGGACTCGGACCGACCCAAACGTCGTAAACATCATCGACGTCGACCTGGTCGCTCGAGGTCCACTTCCTCGTCTTCGACGTCCGCGTCTCGGGATCGGCATCATAAGAAGATCCAGTACATTTATCTATCTTCTTCGTCGGAGTCGACCCGTCCTCGACGTCGACATCGAGTTATACGCGTCGGGGCTAAGCCACCTTCATTACCAGTTGTCCCTGCAACGCAACCAGTACCCTCAACGTCGGCATCGACTGCGATCCCGTCACAGCCTCAGACAGCACCAGTCGGCGCCGAGAGACCACCCCCAAAAAAGAAAAGGGATGTGTTCTCCTCAGATCCAGATGAGGTGTCCACAGAGCAATCCTCTGACTCCGATCAAGAACAACCTCTGCCCCTGCCACCTCATGAGTTGCCTCAGGGAGATGTGGTTGTTTCAGACACTGGGGATCCTCACGCGTCTTCCCCATCTGAGGACTTCTCTTGCTACTCCCAGATGATGTCAAGGCTCGCAAAAACCCTGAAGTTGGACTTGAATCTTCCTTCACCTCCGGGTGAAGACTTATTCTTCGGGGACATTAAGAAGGATAGCACCGCTCCTCCCAGTATAGCCTTTGTGTCAGTAGTTATGGAGGCTATTAAGGAATTCTGGGCTCAGCCTGCAAATACTCCAAATGTTCCTCGTCGCACAGAGAACTTTTATAGAATTCATGGTGCTGACACCCAGTTTCTGCTCAAGCATCCAATTCCAAATTCACTGATTGTGGAAACAAGTTGCTCCAGACCATCTGTCAAGGCTCACGTTACCCCCGTTGACAAGGAGGGTAAAAAGCTGGAAATCATAGGCAGAAAAATATCCTCCCTCATCACCTTGTTGCCCCGAGTCATCAATTACCAGACTGTGCTAGGGGCTTATCACAAACAGCTCTGGCTCAAAGTTTTGCCAGGGCTGAAACTGATACCTGAAGACACCCGGCAAGTTTTTCTCAATTCATATGAAGAGGCTCAGACAGTGTCCAAACATGAACGCCTCTCTATTCACCATGCAGCAGAGATCGCTGCTAGGGTACTTATGTCTGCCATTACTATCCGAAGACATGCTTGGCTACGCTCTGCAGACATACTGGATGATGTAAAATCTAAGGTTGAGAGCCTCGCCTTCGATGCTAGTGGCTTGTTCAATGAAAAGACTGACTCCCACTTAGAAGATCTCCACAAAGCCAAAAGGACAGCAAAGTCCTATTCTGTTCAAACTCAGTCTAGACAGAGGAAACCTCAATGGCGTAAATCTTACGGCCAATATCAACAACCTTCTCAACAATACCGTCCTTATAAGCACTTACCTCAACAGCGTTCCGGTCAGTCCTCCTCTTCTGTTCAGGGATACCGGCCTCGTCAGTCTCACCGTCGTCAATCTTTTAAACCACCTGGGAGAAAACAAAAACAGTATCTTTGACTTTCGTCCTCCCATACTCACTCATTCACCACCCACCACCCGTCTTCAGCCGTTTCTACACAACTGGTCTGCTATCACAACAGATACTTGGGCTCTAAGGATCATTCAATACGGTTACCA